TCAAAACTCGGTTATATAGGGTGGAGTACCCAAGGATCGGGCGGTTATCCTCAAAACTCGGTTATATAGGGTGGAGTACCCAAGGATCGGGCGGTTATCCTCAAAACTCGGTTATATAGGGTGGAGTACCCAAGGATCGGGCGGTTATCCTCAAAACTCAATTATAGGGTGGAGTACCCAAGGATCGGGCGTGTATCCTCAAAACTCATAGATTACATTTAATGATCTAGGACCGGGCGGTGTCCTTATGATAATTTATTTGACCAAGGAGGAGTTCTATACACTCATAGGTATATGGGTGGGTTGGGATTTAAGTCAAGGATATTGACTACTATTATTTTCCCAAATAAACAATGACCTACGGGTCGGGTATTTCCAAGTGTATGTATACTAATATGTATTTCAAACTTGGGGGAAGGACTATACGTATATGTATCATCCTATGTTTGGGTCTTATACTTGAAACGCTAGTTATTCTATATTTAGCCTGCTACTCGCTCGGTACTTGTACTGACCCCTTCGGGGGGCCCCACCATTTTCAGGTTGAAGCTAGGGCTTGCTACCTGCACCTTTCTACGGGTGACATCAATCAAGGAAGACGTGGTTCGTGCTTCCTCATTTTATTTCAAATTACCAAACATTGCTCATGGATATTTTTATTGTCATAAACTATTCTTTTGGGGCTTGCATGCCCATGATATTGGCCGGTTGTGGCTTATGACTTACCGTTGAATATTTCCGCTATTCATTGGTTTAAATGTGATGTTGTTATGTATGTTTACCACTGAGTATGGATGGATTATTTTCTCGAACGCCTTGTGTAATCAAGTGAGGTTGACTCGCGGGTGACGTCACTTGATTATGCGGCGGTTGTACACGCGCTTGGATTGCGGTCTGGGGCGTGACAGATGGTGTAGGAGAGGTTGAAGGGTCATGTACGATTATAGGGGAGGGCAGTGAGATCGGTGATGGGCAGTGTTCGGCGGGGGAAGGGGAAGGGGGTGGTTGGCTGGAATTGCCGAGCACGGCCGGGATAGGGGGCTGGGGAATTGCAGTTGGATGAGGGATAGTGTTGGGCGAGTAGGGAAGGGACAGTGGGTTCGAGATGGTGTGGGTGAGAGTGAGATCGTTGGCCGGAGGAATGGAGGTCGAGGAAGTGGCATTCGTAGAAGAAGACAATGCGGCATAGGGAAAAATATTTTCATGAAAGCGAACATGTCTACTAATAAAAATTTTACCAGATTTAGGCTCAAAACAACGATATCCTTTAAAACCAGACGCATAGCCAAGAAAAACACATTGTACGGAGCGCGGGGAAAGTTTATTGGAGGGGGATGCAGAAAAATTTGGGTAACACGCACACCCGAAAACTCTTAAAAAACAATAGTCAGAAGGTTTTTGAAAAAGAATATCGTAAGGAGAAACACCATTAAGTGACGGAGTAGGAAGTCGATTAATAATATATGCAGCTGTAAAAATAGCATCAACCCAAAATGTGCTAGGAATAGAGGCGGTAATAAGCTTAGTTCTAGCAAATTCCAAAAGATGACGGGGTTTGCGTTCAGCAATACCATTTTGTTGAGGAGTATGTGGGCAAGATTTTTGAAAGTAAATACCATGTTCATCAAAAAAATGCTGCATATTAGAATTAACAAACTCACCCCCTCCATCACTTTGAAAAATTTTAATTTTAGAATGAAACATATTTTCAACTAAAACCTTAAATAAACGAAACTGAGTAAAAACTTCACTTTTAGTGCGCAAGGGATATATCCAAGTAAACCGAGAAAAATCATCAATAAAACACACATAATATTTAAAACCTAAATTAGACAACACAGGTGATTGCCAAACATCAGAATGAATTAATTGTAATGGTGCAGAAGAAGTATGGCTAGCATCCGAAAAAGGTAATCGTTGAGATTTACCCAAACGACAAGAAACACAATCATGTTCAAACTTAGAAGAACTAGAAATAAGTTTTCTACGATGCAACAAACGCAAAATAGTTTCACCACAATGTCCTAATCTACGATGCCACGCAGGGCCAGGAGAAGTGACTGTGGCAAGAGCTAAAGGTGTAGATGATGTAAGGCTGATAGGATAGAGATGACCATTAACAAAAAAATAGTTTTTATCAAAAACAGCAACACAGTTGTTATCAGCACATAATTTTTGAATAGAAATTAAATTAAATTTAATTTGAGGCACATGAAAAACATTTATTTGACAGAATACCTTCAGAAGGGCAATAGGCAAATTAGTACCATTGGCCACACTAACAGTCATGGAACCAGAGTAAGGGAATTTATTTGACAGAATACCTTCAGAAGAAGTCATGTGAGCAGAGGCACCTGAGTCTGGATACCACAAAACATCGTTGGATTCACCACTTGGAGTAATCAACGCAGGTGCAAAAGTTTGTAAAAAACGAGACAGACAGTGCAGCGCAGAGTGACCTGCAGAGAAACAAATTTGGCACACAACTGGGGATGGAACAGACCCGAGAATACCCTCAGAAGATGGGAAACCTGCAGAATAACAATGAGTACCAAAAGCATAATTATCATTAATATTTAAAGTGGACACAACAGATTTACCAGATGCGTCATTAGGAGGTCTCGGGACAGGAACACCCCCTGCAGGTCTCGGCCCGGGCTGACTGGAGTGCACCGTAGGAGCTGGTGGTGCATAGTACTGCTGCGGTGAGTGTCTGCCGCCTCTGCCGCGACCCCCGCGGCCTCTGCCTCCTCTGCCGCGACTTCTGCGGCCGCGTTGAGCTGATGGACCCGGCTGCCCAGTCCCCACTGGAGCGGCAAAAGCTTGATGAGGAGAAGAATAATCTTGTTGTCGATGAAACAGAGTCTGCTCAGCTTCCATGAGGCGCGGGTGAAGGATGTGAGGTGGAAAGCTATCAGGAAACAAGGATATAGTGCCCGTAACAAACTGATACTCAGGGCCTAGGCCCTGGAGTGTGCTTTGTAATAATTCTTTCTCAGTCACAAGTGAATTAATTGCAGTCAAAGCATTAGCCAGATTTTTAATGTCACGTAAATAGTGGTCCATGGACTGATTTGATTTCTTTTTTATATTAGACAATAAGCGTTTAAGCTCCATAGCTCTAGGTAAACTGACAGACATAAATCGTGATTGTAAACGCTCCCATATTCCCAGTGAATGTTTAATATCATGAACATCAGTTAATACGTCACGAGATAAAGTAGCAAACAACCAGGAACGAATTGTTTGATCTACTCGAAGCCAATGATAATAGTTAGTATTAACGATTTGATGATTATTAAAATCCAGAGTGTATAAGGGAGGTACCGGAATAGAGCCGTTTAATATACCAAAAAGACCCTGTGACACCATGAATGATTCGAATTGAGTGCGCCATGTAAGATAATCTTCAACTGCTTTGAGTTTGATGGTAACAATCTGGCCCATGTTTGCAATTCCATGAGAAACAGCCTGTGCCATGGCTGCCATAGGAGAGCCGAATAGAGGGTTGTCAGTCTGGGGTCGCATTACTCCGGGAAAACCAGCGAACGAAGGCCCAAAATATGGCAAAGCTGGTGGTGGCGACTGTGGGGGACGAGGACTTGCCGGCGGCATGGGAGGTCGGACGGGCTGCCATGGGAATTGCGGCGGCAAAGAGTTGAAGAGTGAGTAGGATGGTCCAGCTGTGTATTGTCCAGCAGGAATAGAGGAGAAGAGAGGATCGGTGGGTTGCAGAGGCTGTGAAAATCCCACCGGATCCATCATGCGCTGCGGCAAAGAGTGGAGACCAATTTGATTAGAGTGTTGCGTTTGTGTGCTGTCTATAGAGACTGAAGCATCAGGAGCAAGGGTGACTCCTACTGCCGGAGGGACGGAAGTCTGCGTCGTAGGAGGATTGGAGGTCTGCGGCGCCATAGAGGAGTCCTGCTGCGACATGGCTGCTACGCGGAAGAGTGATCGAGCGGAAAAAAAAAGGGAGAGAGAAAAAATAGGGTTTTCTCTAGGCTCTTGATACCATGTGAGAATTAATGGGAAAGGTACCCCAATAGGAGTCCTGACATGTATATTTATAATGTAAGAGTTATAAACATACAAGGAAACAAATATTTCTAAGAATATTCTATTATATCCCCTATGCCTCTCGTCAGAAATCTGTAATTACTTTTCACGAGTAAAATGCATAAACAGTATCATAACTATTGGTAATATTGCATTTTAGTACCTTAACTCTTTAATGAAGCAAATCAATACCTCAACTCCGTTTAAATGTTGCAAACGGCGGTACCATTCAATATTCCGGCCAAAAAATGCCACATGTCCGCCAGAAATCCACGTGTATGTCCTAGTCATCGTTTTAGGACATCCTAAAACGAAAAGGAAATGTGCCTTTTATATTGAGACGGAGGGAGTAGATTTTACATAATCCACGACATCCGCCAAAATAAGGTCTGGTTCCGTTATTGAACGGTAGTGTCGAGGTGTGTGAGCACGGTGCTAAATCTGGTTGAACTTCTCAAAATGAAAAGAGCTTGTTGAGATTTTCACTACAAGAAAAATCATTTATAGAGGCAGACCATAGTTGCCTCTATAAATAGGAAAGTAGCCTCCAATGATTATTAGAGGCAATTTATTGGTTGCCACTAAGGTGCCTCTAAATAATCCGTCGCTAAATGATGGTTGCCTCTAAAACCTCCTTTAGAGGCAACCAAAGATATGACGCTAAAAACTACACATTTAGAGGCAATCATATTATCTTGTCTCAAAATATTAGTAGAGGCAACCATGTTTTTTGCAACAAAATATAATTAGAGGCAGACATAATAGAGTGACGCAAGACATTATTAGAAGCAGTACTGTTTATTGTTGCTAATAATATTTAATGGCAATTCATTTTTTCATTATGAACGCATTATAAAGGTACTCATATCAATGCTAAAAGATATGGATTTAGACTTTAGTGGCAACCATTTTATCAATTGATTATTAAATATAATATGGAGTAACAAACACAGAAAGCAAGACATTAAATTTCAATAACATAACACTGAGTGTTTACATAACTTAAATTGAAAATAAAGGTAATTATACAAGTATTCATCAAAGTATATATAGAGTTATACTAATACATACACAATATAACTCTATAAGACTATAACCCTCCCTCACTACTACATAGCTAGAGCTAATTTAGCACAAACTAAAACAATAAAGAGGAACACTATGGAACAAATAATTTAAAGATAGAATTCACTTCATAGAAGTTCTTCATCTTCTGTATCTGCTTGAATTTTGTTGTGCTCCTTATCCACCTGGCATATCATAAATTCTACTAAGTACATTAACAGTGGGTAACAAATAATAGAAAAATAAATCAAAATTACAAAGAATAAAAATAACTAATCAAATACTAATATATTTCTGTGAATGTTTTGATTGATATAGGAACACGTGAGGAAGGGAACCAGGGTACACAAAAGCTAAAAAAGTGAGTGGAAATCAAGAAATTAAAGCTTGAAGAGAACCAGAAATTGAGCTTTGGTATAATTCTTGAAAAGCTGAAGTTTTTTTAAAAAGAAGTTTACCAACTTTAGCAATTCCTCAAGTGGGTCAACATCTGCAATAAACCATTTAGGAGTTAGAACACGTTATGAAATTAAGTTAGCTATTACACTTAGAGCCAAAAAGGATCTTGATTTCCAGAACAAACAACACATTGAAAAAAGTAATGTTACATTCTTTTGAAAATGAAAATATTAACAATTTCTCTATGCTACTAATTAGAATGTTTAGTGAACAACCACTTCTTTGGGCATTACTACACTGCTGATTCATTACTTTAGATTTGTAATTTCTCTATAACTTACAATTTGCAACTTTAGAGGAGTTAAAAACCTCATTTGTTAAGCATTTTAAAATGATTAATAATAATATACACTTCATGGAGCATTGAAGGAATGTGCAGATCTAATAATCATGCATTTAAAATTATATTGTTCACAATCTTTACCAAATAGCAAGTGGTTCCAGGCGCAGTAGCAATGACCTGATAATTTTTGGACGCTAGGCAGCTTCTATAGAGGACTTTGCTGACACACAAGAGAACTTTGGGTTCTGAACCTTTTCATGCATATGGAGTTCAAAGGTACCTTCATGGTATTGTAGGAATTAGCAGTGCACTATAGTCAAGGAAGATTAATTAGTAAAGTGACTACGTCATTACATGCCCGAGCACAAAAATTAGGAATATAAGCAACAATAGCTTCAATTTACACATTGCAAATAAAGAATTTCATTTATGACATAGCATACTATTTAATCATCCAAGTAACTAAATCTTATTATAATGGCAATTAATTCGTATAAACATACATACATACATGTTCCTCATTTAACTACTTTGGGATTAAGCTTATTATACAAGAAAAACAACCACTTTCTTACAAAATACTCCTAAAGCATTCATCTAGTAAAAGCCAAAACCAAAACCAGATTCTAAAACATGAACTAACTGAAAACGTAGAGAGTATCGACCTTGCCCCAATGCGCATGTGCTCTTCTATGAGTTCTGATCTTTTATTTCACATTTTCCCCATTACAGAGCTCTTAATCTGGTTTCATTCCGAAGTACAAATTATACGCAGTAGAAGACATGTGAGGATTAAAAAAATTATTATATTCTCATTGTTCATTATATATACAAAGAAATATATCATTGACACATTTCATAAAACAGTTCAAGGACAAAAACTATTAATACTGAAATTGAATGGAAACACTGTTAATGATTAAATTGAATGGAAACACACCTGCACCATCATGAAGAAAAAGATCAAATTGCTGATACAATAAAGGCCACCAAGACCGGTAAGGAAGCTTCTGCATTCTTGAGGATGGAAGTAATGTAAAATATTAGCTAAAAGATAACTTAAAGGAATACTCACGCCTGTGAATACTAACAACTGACATACAAAGATGTAGTTCCAAGTACGAAATCCTTGGCCTGACTTTGTCTTACTTGAACAACTAAATTACAGAAAACTATACTACCTCCGTCCCATTTTATGTGTCTCCTTTGCTTTTGGCACAATATTTAATAAAGTGGTTGAAAAGGAAAAAGTTGTGGTTGAGATTTGAGTATAATAAAGTGAATTGTTTTGAACCACATATTTCTTTCTAAAAGGGGAAAGATGACACTTATTTTGGGACAACCCAAAAAGGAAAGTAAGACAGGTAAAATGGGACGGAGGGAGTAATATTCTGCTAAAACAAGGCATACATGAAATCGTGACACTGGTAGAAAATCAATTCGACGACTAATTACATACATAAGAGAGGTATGAAAATTCATAGAAACTTACAAAATGGAGAAGATGACAACTGATTTAAAACGGAAGGAGAAACCGATGGATGTTTCGGGTCTATCCAGTTGGCTTCGATCGCTAATCTTCATACTTACGATTAAGAGAGTCCGAATGTAATTAGAAGGACGGAGGAAGATGATCAGGGGCGTCTTTAGCATTTTGGAGGCCCCAGACAAAAAAATACTTAATATTAACAGACCATGAGGCTGTTTGTCAAAACTGTTTTTCGGCTTATCAGCCAATTTTTTCACCAAACACATAATTTTTACTTTCGCGCGTTGAATTGTGTAATAAGCAAAAAAAAGTAAGGTTGGAGTTACTTTTCTGATTGTATTGGCTGAAGTTATTGTAGATGACCATTTTAGCTATTTTGACATATAAATTTTTTCTTTATTTTATTAATAAAATATATTTTAAAAATAATTTTTTCTTAAATCAGCAGAATCATTCAATGCAGCCACTCCTGCCAGAACTTCATAAATTCCAGCAGAATCAGCCAAAACAGCCAATTTTCGTGCTAACAAACGGGCTCCATATCATTGTAATTTCATGACAACACCTAAAAAAAAACCGAGTCAACAAAAAACCAAATTTCAGAAATGAAGTCATTAGTGACAATCTCATAAACCCACAACGGAATTTTATCAATTCAGGACCCGAAAGTTAGATTAATTATCAATTTAGGACCCGAAAGATGAAACGTATCGATATAGGACCCGGATGATGGAAAACTATCAATTTAGGACCTAATGTTTCATAGGTTTTGATTTATTTAGTTTTTTATTAAATCCATTACTAATTTTTGATAAACTTTTCTTCACAAAAGTTTATTAGTTTAATAAAACTAATTAATATTTAAAATTTTTAAAATAAAAATAATAATAAAATTCATGACAACTTAGGTCCTAGATTGATAGTTTCCAATCATTCAGGTCCTAAATTGATAGTTTTTCATCATTTGGGTCCTATATCGATATGTTTCATCTTTCGGGTCCTGAATTGATAATTAATCTATCTTTCGGGTCCTGAATTGATAAAATTCCATACACAAAATACATAGTTTACTACTTCAATATTTTACAAGCTACACTTCAAGTATTTATACTCTCAATATGTCAATATTACTTAATGTACCAATATATCAAATTACTTAAATTACCAACAAGGAACAACCCCAATATGTCAATATTAAGTATTATATATTTATATATATCAAAAATGATGTTTGTACCCACTCTTATACCCACTTTTGTACCCACCTATGTTTGTGAAGTGTTTTTTTTGTCTCTGAACCCCGGATCATAGACAATATTTTGCATAAACAAAATATTGTCTGTGAATCGGATTCACAGACAAAAAACACTTCACAAACATGGTGGGTATAAGGTGGGTATATGAGTGGGTACATCAAGTATTGTTGTATATATATTAACTCAATAAGCGTTAATCATTGGTAATTAATGCTTCGTATATTCCTTCTCAGCTTAACCCTTGTTAAACAATCAGAAGTCGCACATATCCAGAGAATAAGACTAATGAGATAACAAGACTCGGGCAAAGTGATAAAGAGCATAAGGCGGTGGACAATTCAGAGGTTATGCCGTTTGCGCTCGCCGGATGGCGTTGCCGCGTTTGTGCACCAGCGGTTCCTTATTCCTCTTAGAATGCTTTGGTTTTTCAGATGCTACGTATTAGAATTTGGGAATTGGAAGGATTCGGGCATTTGGATTAATGATTGTTTTGCGGTCTTGGGAACGGAATTGCAGAGTGCTCGATTGCTCTTCCGGTGGAAGTCTTTCATTTTCTAAATCTAATTATCCATAATACTAATATTTTTAATTTTTGAGGCCCCATTGGTAAGTGAGGCCCAAGGCAAATGCCTGGGCAAACTGGCCCTATATCCGCCCCTGGATGGGGTAAATGGGTTGGGGAAGCTTTTATAGCGTGTACACGGGCATGAAAAACGCAGTGTACACAAAGCATTTCTCGTTTTGGAATGGTCGGAAAAGCTATCATATCAGATACTTTGAGATTTCCTTATTTTCGACTTTATATTACGGAGTACTACGTAACATTTTTTTTAGCCAAACTACATTACATGATACTCGGTAACAATAACTTTATTCAGCATGTTTTTACTTGGACTAAAATATGCTTATCTGGTCTGATCTAGTCTAAATCGGTCTGATTTAATAAATATACGGTTTCTGTGTATTTTATAATTTTGAAAGTCTAGTTTGACCTGAACTAAATCAGATCTTCATAAATCCGATATGATCTGATCTCTGAAACTAAAAATTTAATAGGGAGTATTAATCTAGACGAAAAATGAGATTCCATAGATGACCGGTTTTCTTTTAAATGAGATTCCATAGATGACCGGTAGTATAAAAGAAAAAAAAAATACGGCTGCAGGAATAGAACCCAGTCTAAGCTCTACTTCCAATACGCCGCTGCACTCATTTATCACAGTCTTTTCTCTAAATGCATTTCCCTCGCATAGATTAATTTGGTCAAACATATAATAACGTATTTCCTCTGTTCCATAATTCTTGCAATATTGTGATTTTTACACTATTCATAGATCTTACTTTGACCATGATTTTCTACTAATATACATAATCAAATTATTACGTATAAAATGTTATTGAACTCTTATGAATGTGAATTTCCAAAATATCAACTTTTTATAATGTTTACTAATACATAATTAAATATAATTACAGTCAAAGTTGTGCATTGGCAAACGTGAAAGTCAAATTGTTGCAAGAATTATAGAACGGGATAGTATAATCCTATACTACTCCCTCTAAGGTTAAATTTTCTTCTCTTTTAACATATTTGTTCATTTAATATGTAATGTACTTGGAAATCCCATTAGTAAGTTGGGTTAGACCGACTTCTGTGATTCAAAGATGATTAAAATGTTTTGCCAGACATGCCGAAATTGTATTCATTATTATAATGGCTCTTAAAAAACCCGAATTCGTATCAAATAAAGCATATACTTCGGCTTTCTTGTGCCCGAACTCTAGCTCGTAAACATTAAAGCACTGTGCATGATTTAATACAAAGTTTGGGCTCTTAATTTTTAGAAGATTTTTTTACATCGGAAGAACAAATTTTTTCTTTCATGTTTTCAAACGCTTCTTCAATTTGGCGGTGAGTTAAAAAGGTGGATTTGGCATTTTTATATTTTTTTTATCATAGAGGAGATTAATTTTTAAAAATTCACGCATCTTGTCAAATTCGACTTTATACAAAATTATCAAATTATTACGAGATGCATAAATTTGTATTTTCCATTAGATCGTAATATTTTCTCAAAAACTCTAATTAAAGGGTAAGCTTAGTGTTCACTTTTTAAAAATATATTAAAGGGGTATATATAAGAACACTTATTCACAAAAATATTCTTTACTCGAACTAACTAGTTCCTGGTTGGAATTATGAGTATCTAACCATCATGCTTAAATTAGATGGAGAAAAAAAAACTAGTATAGTTTTAGTTTTACAGGTACAAATATATAGTGCCTATTTGCACATTTAAGTTTAGTTTTAGTCTTAATATTTTTAGAAATCTTTATGTGTTAAAATTATACGGGACATTTAAAAATTATAATGTGGTGTATTGTTTTGTAGTGGATAATTTGTACTTTAGAAATATATTATTAGGCATTGGAATTAATTAATTAATTAAACAGAGACAACTGCATATAATAATCGTACTGCCTCTAAATCTACGGCGTGTTTAGTAGTGTACTACGTATGTGTGAGGAAATGATTATTATATGTGTGACCTAAATCTACGATAGACAAATTAGAATAGAGAAGAAACGTTAACAAATAATGATAGGAGATGATTGAATGACATAATAAGAGTTCGTATACTGTACCGACTGTACGGCTTATACCATAGACGACGACATTTTCGAAAATTTATGTGAAAATAGTGAATATTGTCAAACGAGCATTACAATATGTTTAGTGAGCATCAAACATATTCTAGTGAGTATTGAGCTTCTAATAATTAATGAACATTGTGATATCCGCTTTATATCTACAATATAATGAACTTGTAAGATCATTCACTCTCTCTTAAGATATCTCGTGTTCAATACTCAATGCAGTGAGTTTGATCTCACTTTACCTCAGGCCTCCAACCCACCTATCCCAGATTCCCCGGATAATAAAAACTAAAAAAACCAGTTTTGAAATATGCATGGCGGTGACATTTTAAAAATGAACTTTATACCAATATCAAATTGGAAAAATAGCTTATAAATTGAGCAGAAAGAATTCAAACAAAACTCAATTATAAAATGAGCAGAAAAAAATTCAAAAAAAACTCATTTATAATCTCTATAGTCTATATGCTCAAATTGTATAGGTTCATATCAGCATAGCGTAAAAAAGCACCAACATATTGGGAAATGGAATTGCAATTGAGGTAAGCTCAATTTTCATTTGTGTAGGCCACTTCTAGTATGCTAAAATTTTGATTTATGTTTGTTTATTTGAATTTTGTAATGTGCTCAAATATTCATTTATGTATGTTCATTTCTTTTAACCGTTATGCGAATTTATTCTAAACACTGAATTTATTGTTAATATAACATATGTCGCAAAACTTATGTTAGAAAATAACAAGGTGAAAATATTAAAATGCAATACTAAAATACAAGCTGAAATCATGGCTGACGATTAGGCAAGTAATTTGAATTAAAATAATGAATTCTCTTAATTTAAATTACGTATGAAACATGGCCTTATATAAGGCTGTAGCCAATCGGCTATACAATAGCAAAACAGAGAAAGAAAGTCCCAGAAGGAAACTACCTTCTTGGGATAGAATCCTACCAAAATTAAGAAGTTTAAAATTAAATAAAATATCCCTAATGATCTGTGCCATATAAGCGTAATACCCCCTCAAGTTGGAGCATGAGGGTCAAGAATGCCTAACTTGCGCAACAGAAATTGAAATTGCATCTTCCCCAGAGCTTTTGTAAAAATGTCACCAAGCTGAATTGTAGTAGGAACATAGGTGGGAGCAATAAGATTGTCTTGAATAGCATTTCGAACAAAATGGCAATCAACCTCGATGTGTTAAGTGCACTCGTGAAAGACATGATTCCGTGCAATATGAAGAGCTGATTGACTATCGCAATG